CACATTTTCAAAATTACACTCTGTTGATGCTTTATCAATTTACAACTTTAATTTTGCACTTTACTGATGCTTATGGAGTTCCTAAATAACAATGTAATATACATTTTCAAGTATCTACTACTGTTCTCTTGAAATGCCAGTAACTAAACTCTGCCTTAGTGAAACTTGAAAAATCAGGTAAGTTTCCCAGATAGGGGGGGGAGGGAGTTTAACAAGTTGGAGTGCTAACAGAAAAAAGGGATAAAAGCATACCATATTCTTTATCAAAAAGTCATTGTAAGCCTGTGCCTCAAAATCTCATTCATTATCAAAATATTTTCCCATCTCTCTGTGACCTGACAGAGTATGGCACTTCACAATAGAGGTTTCCTGTGTCCAAGAGCATATTCTTGTTGCACACAATATCAAATGAAGAAATATTTGTGCACATATCACTTGGGGGAAGAAGAATCAACCCCACAGGAAGGAAGTGTGTCATATGGGAGACATGAGCTCATACAGTTGGAAGGCAATGAAATGCACAGCAGGAAGGGAAAAGCACCTGGGAAAAAGGAAGATAGAAGAGGGAGTGGCACTATGGAAGGGAAAGGTAATAAGGAAAGGAGGAGTACTAGGGAAGGGAAAGGCACAAGGAGAGTGGGAGGGTCAAAGGAGAATGGAATGGCACTTGTGTGGGAGGAAGGGGCACCAGGAGAGGGAGGGGCACTAGGAGAGGGAGGGGCAGGCGAGAAAGGGAGGGGCGTGCACGAAGGGAGCGACAGGAGGGAGAGGAAGGCCACGAAGGAAGGACCTGACCCGAGGAAAGGAGGGGCACGAGGGAAGGCCAGGGCACGAGGGAAGGGAGGGGCACTGGGAGAGGGAGGGGCACAAGGGGAGGGAGGGGCTCGCTGGCACCACAACAAACATTGGTCATTATCTCGTCTAATAAGCCTTTTGTCTTGTGTTTCCAGGAGTTTTATCGGCATGATCCCCTTCTTGTTAGAATAATCAATAATTGCACCACAATCCAGCCTGTTCCTAGTGCCTGTGGCGGCATAAGAAGCCGAAATCCCTCGCAAAATAGAGAGAAATGGCGTCAGTTTCCATTGACGCTGAAGTTTCACACAGGTTAGAGCGATTTTTTTCTTTAAATAGGTGAAGAACGGCCATTCCTTACACGCCAATGCGGAGCAGAAAGACCGGATTGCTGCAGTGTATCAAAGATTCTTCCAGCGGGCTCGCAACAGCCAGTCAGTGAAGGAAATTCGGAAAAACAACAACTCACCTGCCAAAACATGAGAGGGCGGAGAGCAGCGTCTGCCTACAACGCACATCCACGGATCAATTTTTTCCGTAAACATATAAATAATAACTCTTAACTAGATATTATAAAGTAAGAATATTTTTTGTTTATTAAAATTTTGTATCATCAGGTTATACGATTATTCTCTCCGAAGAAACGGTATAAAAGTGGATCTTTTAAAAACCCGTTTGCTCTGAAACGTTGCCCGGAGGTAAACAAAGATGGCGTCGCTGCTCAACCTGAAGGACTATGGCAGCGGGAGTGAGAGTGACAGCGACAGCATTGGCGAGGAATCTTTACAACATTTGCGGCCGATCGAAAGCGGCAACACTATCTCTAAGCAATTACAGTTTGTGGTTAATCCGGAGGTGACGTCAACGGTAAGAACTAGGATGGTTAACGAAGGCTACTAGGTTTGGAGGAAAGAATATTGAGGCCTTATGTATAGGGTCAACTCATTTTAGTATTTTTCCTTACAATATATTGTAATGAAAGTTAATGTTACTGAGAACGATGCACGAAGATAGAGGGAAATGGACACTGCCATTTCATAGAGTATAAAATATAGAATCAGTCCACAATACCCTCACACAGCCACAGTTCTTAATGTTGTATGATCTATAAGTTTGCACAAAGTGTTAATAAAGGGGGCTACTGGGGGCTAAATAGAAGGTATGAATGGTTAGGTTTGGATTTTGGGTTCACATGTTATCCTGGATTTGGGACTTCATCTCTGGAGGTGCGTCGCTCTCGGTAAAAGCACCACAAGGAATACCACATATATTATATAGATGACATTACACAAGTCCCCAAAATAGGATTATTTGTTGTAAATCTGGAAATAACACCTGATTTTCCAATGAACCATATATATTTTCCAATAGTTTCTATTGTGTTACAAAGGAATCTAGCACTCATTTCCTTTGTAGATGAAGCACAGTTATGGTATCAGTCCTAATGGATGGGGAGGGCATGAAACATGTCAGGGAATTCAGGGGGGGGGGATATTATTAATACGGGAGATCACAATATATCCACTTGCTACCTGGGCCCTTTAATGCTTCTCTAGGGAGGGACAGTTTTGAGTCTTAACCGCATTCTTCTAGGCCCAGCTTCTTTTATCATGTGATGATCTCTTTTATATCTGATTGGTTCTATTGTGCTGGACATCTCTGCCTATGGTCCGTCAAGTTTCAATGCAAATCTTATTTGGGCTCA